TACCAGAAACCAGGTTTCGATACCCGTGGTGAGCAGAGCACAGATAACCCATTGTGTAGCTTTGTGTTTAACTACAAACAAACAAATAAACACTCAACATTGAGTGTTTAGTTAAATAAAAACAACATTTTGGTGTTATAAGGTCATCTATTTCTAGTATTAATACGTCTTCTATACACCAATATGCACTACAGAAATTACATAATAAATTTTATGGTATACGTGTATCAATATGATACATGTATTTCTATTTGTCACAGTGCTATCATAAAGTCAAAGTGAATAAAAATGATAATGCAACATTTGAAGCTCCAAGTAGTTTAACCTTGAAAATGGTAAAGTCAAATTAAATTATTTCTCGAATTAAACTATGGAGATTTTTATGTGATAAAAACATACCTCTGTGGCAAGTGTTGGATACAAGGATGAAAAATCATACTCCCATCCATTCTGACACGGCACTACGTCCACATCTTCTAATAACAATGGATATCCCACTGACACATTCTGTTGAATCTCTGTTACATTTACATTATACTGCTTACACTGCTGATATGTATGTTGTGCATCAGCTGTTCCTTTTGGCAAAGTTAAGTTCTTCCACTCTTCCAGGGTGAAGTTTGAACTACCAGGTTGCTCAACATAACACCAATGGTTGGGCACCATTATAATAAAAAACTGGGTAAAGTACACCAGTGCACATAATGCTGCTGATGGGAAGATCAAGAAAGCACAGAGAAGTTTCTGGTATAGTCCAAAATCTCCAACCTGTTTCAGTGCTTGGTTGAAATCCATGACTTGAATGTTCTTACATCTGCATCTTGACATAGAATAAAAAAAAAAAGACAATACTTGAGATTCTTTACAAAATTCTTTGTATAAGATTAAAAACTGGCTTTAATCCACTCAGTATTCTAGTTATTTTCCCTTCTAAATGAAGTGCACGTAGGAGCTTGTGACAGAGAGTTCAGTGACAGGGATATCTGTTATCAGAAACTTGAGTTACCCAACTTTCAACAACTCAGATAGTTGCATGAACACTTACAGTTCTAGAATTTCAAACATTCAGTTTTTTCTACAACTAATTCTCATTTAGAAAAATCCCTTATACTAATTCACAAAAGAAAAACTTTCCAGAGACAATTTTTAAGAATGTATTAAAACATCTGACTCAAGTTAGAAGATTTCAGTCATGAAATTAGAGACGTTAAAAATGTGATATTGTAAGATGAATCAGTTATATGAAAGAACTCGTGCTGGAGAGGAAGTCTACTTTTTGTTTGTTTCTATATAGTTATGCATAAAGCTACACAATGGGCTATCTGTGCTCTACCTGCCACAGAATCAAAACCCGGTTTCTAGTGTTGTAAGTCCCAGACATACTGCTATACCACCGAGGGCATCTACTTTTTAAAATGTAAGAAAAAATAAAAAACAACCAAATAAAATGTTATTATCATATTACATATGTTGTATTGTTATCTTAAAAATAGAAGGTTAAAAATGTGCGTGTTATAAACACTAAATGGATGTGAAATTTATTTTATCCAGATCATATACAATTTTAAAGAATATATAATAACATGAATTTTATATTTCTACTACACTACGAATATTAATTGAATGTTATACATTGCAGAATTTTCTTTCTAACACCTTATAGACAATCTGTAAAAGTTCCATGTAATGCTGCTTCCTTTCATGAAGTATTTGTATTATTTTTGGCTTTAGAAACTAGTGTATGTTTCTAATACATGCTACAAGTGTGTATTGTGTGCAATGTGTTGTTTAATCATGTATGAATTAATTATTTTGTACGCATTCATACAACATGTGTACACACAACTCAGGGTTATTTTTATATGGTGTACTTGGGTAACATACCCCTCAACCCCACTTAGAGTAGAAATACTTATTGTGATGTCAACAAAACATATGTTTTGGTGATCTTTTTAAGTGATTTTACATATTTTAACCTCTAAACAAGGTTTATCTATGGAGCACTTTATTAATAATCATATCTAAAATACATTTGTGCTTATATCACTTTGATATAATACACACATTCAAACTATAACTAAACAATAAATACACACCAGCTTATAAGCTGCAGTGGTTAGTCAGTGGTCACTATAAAGCAGCATGATAATGGCAAAACCTATAACCAGTAAGAACTAGCCAGCAAGGTAACAGTAAAAACTTACAGCTATTATGAACCAGCATCATAACAGTAAAAACTTATAATCAATATAAACCAGCATATTAACAGTAAAAACTTACAACCAATGTGAACCATCATGGTAACAGTAAAAACTTACAACCAATGTGAACCACCATGGTAACAGTAAAAACTTACAACCAAATATGAACCACCATGGTAACAGTAAAAACTTAAAACCAGTATAAACCAGCATGGTAACAGTAAAAAATTATAATAAATATGAACTAGCATGTTAACAGTAAAAACCTTATAGATGAACCAGCATGGTAACAGTAAAAATTTAAATCTAATGTTAATAACAATGGTAACAGTAAAAACCTATCAAGGAAACTCCACTCTTAATAAAAGTATGTTCTAGTGTACCCTGACCATATCAGTCTATTCCAGAACATGGCTAGTAGGATCTTCAAAAATTGGTTTGGGGGTATTTTATTATTCATCCTTGAAGTCTGTGATATGGATAGCTTGTTGAGCTGTAATATTTAGAATTTGCTGATAATACTATGATTCTGAAAAGAGATGATACTGGTGAGTGTTCCTCTCATTCAGAAGGAAAGAGATGATACTGTTCAGTGTTCCTTTCATTCAGAAGGGAAGAGATGATACTGTTCAGTGTTCCTTTCATTCAGAAGGGAAGAGATGATACTGTTCAGTGTTCCTTTCATTCAGAAGGAAAGAGATGATACTGTTCAGTGTTCCTATCATTCAGAAGAAAATAAATGATACTGTTCAGTGTTCCTATCATTCAGAAGGAAAGAGATGATACTGTTCAGTGTTCTTTCATTCAGAAGGAAAGAGATGATACTGTTCAGTGTTCCTTTCATTCAGAAGGAAAGAGATGATACTGTTCAGTGTTCCTATCATTCAGAAGAAAATAAATGATACTGTTCAGTGTTCCTATCATTCAGAAGGAAAGAGATGATACTGTTCAGTGTTCTTCTCATTCAGAAGAAAAGAGATGATACTGCTCAGAGTTCCTATCATTCAGAATATATGAACAGTTTTAGTGATTGAGCCAGAATACGGAAAAATTAGTTTCAATGTTTACAGATGCACAATAATGCATTTAGAGCATAATTATAATTTCAAAGCAGTGGCTTTACTCCTTATCTCAAAGAAGTACTAATGTTCTTAAAACAAAAGCATGACATACATGAGCTTGTTGAAAATGCTTGAGCCTATCAGCCATGGTAAATAAAACTTTATATGGTTCTGATAGATATTTATAGGAACTTTCAGTGTAAAAATAGAAAAGTTATTTTAATCTTATATAACACTTTTATGAGGCCTCCTTTAAAATACTACATTAAATTTGTATCTTTTAAACATGGACAATATCACAGTGCTGGAAAGTGTCCAGAGACAGGATGCTAGAATAACTGGTTTAAAATGTTAGAACTATAAGCAGATGTTTAAAGGTTTGTGCATATTTTCTCTGAAGCACATAAGAACCAGGAGTTTATTGATGTAGGTGCATGGAATTGACAGTTTTTTGGACAATCTGCCTGTGGATAGTCTATTTCACATGTGGACTAAAATGGCTGGAAACACAAACATAAATATTAGCTTTGGGTAATAATTTAAACGTGTATACCAAAACTTGTTCTTTAAGAACATTATTTCTCTCTTTTGTATAATAAACTAATGGAATAGTTTACCTAAATATGTGATGTATAAATTTAAATGTTTGATGGATTGATAAAAAAGAATTACATTAAGTTTTGGTTTTGATATATTGGTGGAGAAGTAGCCAAATGGTTGGCATTCTGTTCCCTTGAATAATTTAATATACTTAATGATATTGATATATCTGCCCTGGCTTATTTTTGAACTAAGACACTTTGCAACATCCGAGTCTGGAGAATGGTTTCTTATGAACCTGTCTTCTGTAGCAAAGTTTAAATTTCATTCTAACTGTTCCCATGTGTTTTTACTCCATACCACACTTGTTCTACAATCTACAGCATATGACCAAAAACATCAAGCCAATAATGCAAAATATTATCCATCAACTTTAGGTCCACAGTGAACTCTGGTCATCTTATAACTAATGATTACTTAATACACAATACCAACTAGGAAAATGTGTAACATGGATGGTCTGATTTCCTCTTCAGTCAACTGAGCCAGCTTTCAGAAGTGGACAAACAATGTAGTTTCGTACCACTGCAATGAATCAAAATGTCCAGATATTTGTCGTAACCAGTACTTGAACCTGGAATTTTCCAACTCACACCAGTTAATAAGTCTAGCTGATATTAATGCTCTTCCAAATGACAGAATAGACTTTACAAGCTCTCAAAGTCATGTAAATTTAATATTAACACATATATATATACTATTTTCCATCTCAACAAATAACAGTGCAGACTTTTGTATCATGACACACAGATACTGCACGTTGGTTGAGTTTTCCAAAAGGAAATTCAGAAGTTGAATATGATATCCTCCATATAGAACCCAAATTTACATTAAAACAAGGGCATGAAACTCATATTGCAGCATTGTAATAGCTAACAAAAACCTTTCAATTCTAAATCACACTAATAGTAAAAAAAAAAAAAAACAGACAATGCTAAGTCATTCAGCACAATAACCTATCTCCAAGTTGTATGGTTTGAAAATTAAGTTAAATTTTTTTATACAGAATTTGAACTAATACTTATCTTGATAAAACCCTATGGTTCTTGATATTCTTCAATCCATTATGAAAGTGTTTTGATCAAGTGAATTTTGTCTGGAGATAAGTCTATCAACCCAAAAAAACAAGTCTTTCTACCTTTTCAACAGTTTAAAAATATCATTTGTAATTTTTCCTCATTCTAAATAGACAATTTTTATATGCTCAAATGTTTCAAATCAGGAGCTATTCTAGTAACTAGCCATCTCTAGATCATTTTCGGTAACTGAATTGTCTTCTGCTGGTAAACTAACTACATAATAGTATATTCTTAGTCATATAGACAGTAATACCCTCTTTAATCTTATGACTCTAGCAACTGTTTAATAATTTCAGTTATGCTATTCACCAAAACTCCTTTCTCTGAATGTGACTTCACTAATACATCACTTCACTTTTTTCTCACACTTGTACCACACACTAAAGTCCTTTTTTTTTTATTGGCAAGTACATAAACTACTCCTCTCCAAATTACACTTCAAGGTATTCTTATTTCTAAATGATCAAAACTGTTTAGATCCTATCGAGTTATTGATATGTTTCCCCGTATAACAAACACAGTTGGAAAATGGGACAAGAAAGAAACTCCTAATAATATTTACGAGCTACACTGTACTGTCTTGTACAAACATAAAGCTTAAATTATTTTCTATTAAACTAATGTTATACTAACCATGCTGCATAATATTAATAGAATGAAGGCTCTAGAACAATAATAATATTGATACAATAACATATTGGATAACATACTTAAATGAATATTTACTACTTCCAGTTTGTGAATAAGTATTTGTGTGATAGAGAACATATGGAAGAAATATATTTATTATATTGTTTTTCATGAGATATTTCTGAACAACTGCACAATCACACACATATGCCTAAACGGTCACAAAGATGCCATTCTTAGCAAGCTGGATGAAATAATACCATAATTGAATTAGTTGACTACAACATAATAATTCTACCTCCATTCACATGCTGTTTGGTATCATTGCCATTTCACATGTACAGTACATTACCACTGATTTAGTTATATGTAGCTGTTAGATTATGATTTTAAAAGAAAGATAAACAATCAAAACAGCTAAGAGAACATGCCAACTGTGGTTGTTTGCTTAATTCCACTAGATACCAACTTCAAGCAGAAGTTTAGTAAAATCTCATTAAAAAAGTAGTTTTAAAAATCACATATATTAATATATTTATTTCAAAACCATAACCATAGCTTCAATGTGAAAATTTTCAAAAGGGGGGTGGGGGTGGTGGTGGTGGAATGTATGTTATCAAACATGACATGGAAAACTGGCCTCAAATCAATGTGCATACACATTTGTGCTGTAACTATACTTTTGTAGCTCCTACATTACACTCAGAAAGATTGAACTTGGGGTAGTTTTTAAGTTAATACATGTATTTTTTAATAAAAAGGATATGTCTAACAATGTGTTAATAAGCTATACCTATGTAACGTCATGGTGTAACCAATTTTGGTTAGAATAGATGAAAATTTTGTAAGATTATTAGAATAATCAGAAATTTTGTTTTAATTGTTTTTCACAATATATTTACTTTGATACTATTTAAATTTTTGTTTTAAAAAAGTTGACGCCCTCATAGCGCTTATAACGGAACAAAATGGTATTGCCACACTATCGGTATTACGTACATTCATCACGTATCATTGTAATTGTACGGTCCAAACACCATCAGTATCACAATTAAAACTTGATTTTTATGTATGAGAAGAATTAGTTATACTGAAAATCCGATAAGATTTTAAAAAATGGAAAATATCTACACCTAGGCTTCTCGACTTTCATTTTAGATTTAATAGAACAAAGTAATAAAAATACCAAAAAATGACTATTTTCCTCAATTCTAATATTCATCCAAACATACGTAACACTAACACTGACCTTTATGGTCACCTCTAATTACCGAAAACATAATAAGTTTTGTAATTTACCGTTTTTCTTACTTTCGATGAAGTAATTGTTAAGAAGTTCATGAAAATTCTAGATACGCTATATATGATAAAGCATTTTTTATATTATATTAACATAAACTTTATAAAAAGCTGTTGTTACAGTGAAAGATAAGTTTAGTAAACGGAATAAATACTCATTTGTTACACAGCTTCAGTCTCACCATATATGTATAAAATCCAGTTCCGTTCATCGTCGTCCAACATATAACAAAATGTTATATAGAACTAAGAGGATTAATGAGCGTCTTCTCATATATATATATATAAACCAAACTAGCTACAATCAATCAACAACATATGATTATGACGCAACTTCCATGCACTAAGAAATTTTATACGTAAAAGAATAAAAAAAACGCATTTTTTTTTCTGTTATGTCATCAAGAATGTGTATGTAAATAAAACTTAGTAGAACTATTAAAATAAACCACGTCGCTAATAGAAAACAAATAAATTAAATTTGGTCGTAGTAGACATGTGTAGCCATCCACTTATGTAGATGGCTCTGGAATAGTGCTTTCGACTTTTCCTGAGAGCGCTATCTTCGTTATATCTTACGAAATAATTAGAATGGAATTATTTTCTTCCAGTACCTTCTGCAGTGGAATCAAAAATAAAGTGTAATGTTAGATAACCTTTAGAAAACCCATATCTTCAGAATTAGTTTTTTATTATCTATCTGTTTCAGTCAAGCAAAATAAAGATGTTTTGAAAAATTCAACATGAACACCTAATAATGAATAATATTCTTTAAAAATGCATCTTGATAAGAGAGTTAGCACAAAGGATCACATATAAAGTGTAATAAACTTAAAATAAGACCCTTCAGGAAGAAGAATAGTCAACGCTCGGGTTTTGGGTCTTATTTTAACTTTAAAAATGCATAATACCTACTGTGGTTCAGCGGTAAGTCTCGCAATTTATAACGCTAACATTCATGTTTCAATATCTGCAGTGGCCAGAGCAAAGATAGCCCATTGTGTAGATTTGTGCTTAATAACAAATAAACAAAAATATGCATAATAGTTAATATTTAGTTACAAGAACATTTTGTGCAGCAGAAAATTGTTAGAACTTTAAATGAAGCATAAAATATAAGACTGGTAGATGACAGGTTAGATTATTTTAAAATCAGCCTTAAAAAAGAAATGTTAACAGTCTTGGAGTATGGACGATGCTGAATTACCTTTTTTTACCATCAGCACTGAAAAAGGTGCACGTAATTAATACAAAAATTATTTGGACGTCTTTAATTATTTTACATGTCCGGATACAGGAGTTAAAGGAAAGCAAAGAAAGTTAATGATTCTTAGGATGGGAAACAACAGTTCTAACTCTAATAATGTGCCTGATAGGACGAATATAAGTGATATTCCAGTTGTTCACAACTTATCGTCAACCAAGTTAAAAAATAATTATAGTATTTTGGCACTTGTGTATAAAGTTAAAATCATAAATAATATTCAACGTTAAATTGGTATACAATTAAAAAACATTTTATTTAGGTCTATCTATGGCCTTCAAAAAGTTGAAGACTCTACATGTTTCAACGTTACAACGTCATCCTCAGGAGTGAATTACAAGACAATTGCCAAAGTATTTATAACTTGTTAGTAGGAAATTGACCTGTATGTTATTTTTCATACACTTACGCTAAGCCATTCAAATGAGAATGTTCAAAGCCAAGTGTTAAAAAAAAAGGACTCAACTTTTCCATTTTCTCAAAAACAACACCTTTGTTGGGTATAAATGCAGGATTGGAAGATTTTGCCAGGAAAATAGATATCCAGTTAACACGAAAAGATGAGAAAAGGTAATAAATGGTTCAACAAGTTATCAGTATGGAATCATTTTGTTATAGGAAAAGTGATGCTTATTTCCCACAGATACCAAAAACAGATATTTATCTAACATTCTCGGTGATTTGTCTGAGAAAATAAAAATAATGGTGACCAAATCTAAATGTATTAAGCCTAACATAACAAAAGTTGAACAGAAAGTCCTTAAACAATTACGAGAAAGTAATAATTTGGTTATTACAAAAGTGGACAAAAGTAATGCTGTTGCAGTAATTAATTATTGTGATTATTTAAGAAAAATGAGTGATCAAGAGCATTATAAACATTTAACTAAAATCAGAGAAAAGAAACTGAACCGATTTTTATTAGATTAAAAAATAGATTTATTAAATGATTCTAGTTATATATTTTTTTAGATCTAGTGATGCAAAAACACGTTACATTTATGGGTTGCTCAAGATACATAAACAAGATGTACCTCTCAGACCCATTGTATCCACTAGAGGAGCGTTTAATTCTAACCTAAGTAAATTTTTAGCCCGGATATTGAGACCTTGTACATTACAGGGAAATTGTTATATCAAATACAGAACATCTTACTAAGTTATTGGGCACATTCAACCCTTTTGGTTTTTTTAGTTAGTTTTGATGTTGCTTCCTTATTCACTCAAGTACCAATCAACGAATCTATTGACTGTGCTCTTTCTTGTTTTATACAAGATGAGAATCCAATAACTTATATATTGATTGGTTGTTTTGTGTGATATCACATCACAATCAGACTGGCAATAATTTTTATCGCATCTATCATTTATCATACAGGCCCTGTATGGAATTTCATGCAATAAGAAGCATTTCAACCTTAAACTTTGTTTACTGCCCATCATAACAGTGGTAAGGTTTACAATACACAAAGCCTCGGTTGAAATTATATGCATATCACATATATTCATCACATACAGGAACGTCGAGAGCCAGAATGGGCCCCGGGGCAAACATCCTCGCTGGGCCCCCCTTTTCTATCTCTTTTTTAACATTTTCAAGAATTTATTGAAAAGAAGATACTAAATTAGGTCAGCAACGAGCTCATAAACAGAAAAAATCATAGCAGCAGCCGTTTTGACCTCACAGTATAAGCGTAAAAACGTTAATAAAGTAACAACAACTATCTATTAAATCTGTAAAGTAACAAATATATATTAATTATTAGTCAAATTATTATTTGAGTCGTTCTAAATATTCCAAGTGTCTATATCCTAAGAAAAGCCAAAACTATGGTTTTTATCATTAAATGAAGATATAGCCTAAAGATGCTTTGCTGGCTTTACGGCATAACCAGGTTTCATTCGCTCGGGCCCCTGGGCAGTTGCCCCCCCCCCTGTCGGCGGGCCTGATCACATATAAATATACACATTTCGGTTAAGGTTTTGTATGCCGTAAAAACAGTCGACCTGATGATCTTTGATATTGGGTAGAAGGCTTGTCCGTAGCTTTGTTTGTTTGGTTGGTTGTAGTTAAGTGCAAAATATGTCTAACAGGCTTTCTGTGGTGTGGCCACCTGAATTTTAGCCATTTAATGTAACACGCAAAATATGCAATTTAAATTACAGACTTGATATAAACTGGACTGAGCACCACTTTTAATGTAAGCGGGCGCCATATTGGCTTTCCAGTTAAGACTAGTATTTACTTTATATCCATATGCCTCTAAATCATGGACAATTTGTTGCCTTAAAATATAATAGACGAATTAAGAATGCTGTTTTAAATTGCATCTACTGATACCACATTTCCATTTGATGATAACTTAAGTTAGTTGCATGTAAAATTAGAACACATAAACATGCTGACTAATTATTAAGTAGATGTACATTATTACAAGTAAGCTAGTTAATTGTATTTCTTAAATCATTACAAACATAATTATAGTCTAATGTAAATTGGCTATTACACGTATACACATACAGTATTAATAATTAACAATTATATAATAATAATATTTAAGGTCATATTAATAGAACAAAGCTTTAGTTTGATGAAAATAAAGAATACTTCAACTTACCATGGTCTGGTGGTTAGAGTACTCGATTCACAATCTGTGGCTGTTTGCCCTTTCAGCCGAGGGGGCGTTATCATGTTACGGGCAATCCCACTATATCTTGATAAAGAGTAACCCAAGAGTTGGCGGTCGGTGGTGTTAATTAGCTACCTTTCATCTAGTCTAACAATTCAAGATTAGGGACGGCTAACGCAGAAAGCCTTCGAGAAGCTTTGCGCGAAATACAACAAACAAATATTAAGTTACTGTGTAAACGGTAGCAACTTTATTAATTATTTTAGATATATAACACACATTTTACACACACATACACACACACACACACACACATATATATATATATATATATGTAACGTTGTTTCTCCCCCGCCCGGTTAGCTGTAAGTTTAAAAACTTGTTATGCTAAATTACGGGGTTCGACTCCCCGCAGTACAAAGAACGCAAATAGTTCGTTGCTTACTTTTGCGCTAAAACAAACAAACGCAACTATTATATGTCCAAAGCACGTGCCCGAAAAATAAAAGCTTGGAGAGAATTTAATTATTGTATTTTACATCATTACGACATGCTGTTTACTTTCAAATAAATCGGGTGTTTTTGGACAAATGAAAATGTCGCCAAATGATTGTTTAAATTTTACTGTGTACACGAGTTGGGCTCTAGCTAATCACATGAATACTGCTATTCGTTATGGATGATTGCACTACAAATCAGCCTTTAGTCTTACAAGATACATTATGGTTATACCACCTAACGTACCCTAATACCATGAAAGGAGATCTCTTGTTTGACATTAGATCTAACATGCCACATTGCCATTAGAATTACTGTTACCTGTAGAATGGAACGCCTACGCCTAACGAAAACTACAATAAAAACGTTTTTCTAGCAAAGTAATACCAACTCGCGAATTTGAAAAAAGGGGGATTTTCAATCTATCAAAATTTCCGAAATTTCAGAAGTGGGGTTGTTTTTTTTTACCAAATATTTCAAGGGTAGAGGTTCAGTTTTGTTTGTGTCTATGTTCGTTGTTGTTAAGAGCAAAGCCACACAATGGGTTGTCTGTATTGTGCCAATCAGTAGAATTGGAACCTGGTTTTTAGTGTTAGCATGGAGGGTTAAGATTCTGTAAAAAACGACAACAAACAAACATGATTAATACTGTACAATTTGAATGCCACCGCCAGGGTTGAAAATCAACTACATAGAAAAACTAACAAGGAAGTATTGGAACATGCAAATCAGGGTAAGAAGTTCCAGAGGTTTCGTTGATTTTTTTTAATACTGCTTAAATCTGATGTCCAATTATCGTTATAGCACGGGATTAAATGATTTTTGTGTGAATTAGCGTCAGTTAATGTAATTTTGTGGGTCATATAGGTCTATACCAGTGGTCGGCAACCTATGACCCGCGGGTCACTAAGTGAACCGCGGCAATAATTTGGCTGACCCGCCAAAAGTTGGCTTCACCATTGCAACCCGTGAGGACACAATCATTGTTCAGTTCAAGTTTTTCGGCTATGTGAGAAGAACAACGATATTAAAGGAAAGAGTCACGGCTACAGAGAATTTTAAGATCAATTTCAAAGAAAAATATCAAACTGGTCGAACTATTAAT